CTAAAACCTTCCTCTTTTCCCCCCCTGATGAAGTCCTTTGTTTTGCTGGCAGTGTGCTTTGGCTCATTGTCCTGCTGCATGATAAACTTCCTCCCGATTAGTTAAATGCATTTCTCCATAAATTGGCAGACAAAGTGTTTCTGTCCACTTCTGAATTCATTCTGCTGCCACCATCAACAATTACATCATCAATAAATATTAATGAGCCTGTTCTAGAAGCAGCCATGCACGCCCAAGCCATGACATTACCTCCACCATGCTTCACAGATGAGCTTGTATGCTTCGGATCATAAGCAGTTCCTTTCTTTCTCCACACTTTGGCCTTTCCATCACTTTGGTAGAGATTAATCTTGGTCTCATCAGTCCATAAGATCGTGATACAGAACTTTTGCAGCTCATCTCTGTACTTTTTTGCAAATTTCAATCTGGCCTTCTGATTCTTAATGCTGATGAGTGGTTTGCATCTTGTGGTGTGGCCTCTATATTTCTGCTCTCTGATTCTTCTTCAAACAGTGGATTGTGATACCTTCACCCTGCACTGTGGAGGTCGTTGGTGATGTCACTTACTGATGTTTTGGGGGTTTTCTTCACAGCTCTCACAATATTTCTGTCATTAAATACTGTTGTTTTCCTTGGCCGACCTGTTCGACGTCTGTTGCTCAGTACACCAGTAGTTTCTTTCTTTTTCAGGGCATTCCAATTGTTGTGCAAGTAGTATAAGAAGAACAAACTGCTACATAACAAAACAGGGCATCCAACAGCAATAAGAAGAAGAAAGAGCTACAGAGACAAATAATTGATTTTTTAAGAGTCAGTAGAGAAGCTAGAGTAGAATTCATTTTGATCGGGGTGATATGAGGAAATAGTTGAAAAGAGCTAGAGGAAAGGTTGCTGCTATCAGTACAAATCCTTTGCTGTTGGACAACCTTAGCTGCAGCCCTTTGGTTTCAGACATGAAGAATACTGTGTCGTCTGGGCTATGAACCATTGAGCTAAACTTAGTTGTGACTTCAGTCTGCCTCCCCTGAAGTTTCATTCTCAGGATGCCACAAGAAGGCAGAGCTAGGGAGGGGTCACAGTGTGGCAAGACAGTGTTTCTTATTTTAATTTCCTCAAATATGAATGGTAATTCATAAGACGGATCAGCACACAAATACCAAGGAAAGATCCTTTAATATTCCTAAGATGAGCATTAAAAGTACAAAAATAATAATATTTAATATCACACTTACTGCAAGTCTGGGTTTAAATGCAAAGTATCCACCAAAGAGTTCATTTCCTGCCTTGTTTTCGCCCACTGCTCTCTCAGTCCATGACTAAATTTTAACAAACTAATTGATTAGGTTTGAACCTCTGACCCTGGCTTATTTCTCCAGCAGCCCGCCAATAACAAACAGAATACAATAATGTTGTCATTAACTGCCATAACATTATGATTTATGACAAAAAAAAATCCAATTAAACCTGCAAATGTACACTCCAATAGCACAAGCCCAATGTAAAACATTATTGTATATTTCCAAAATAGCACTAATGTCACCATGAAAAATATTTATTTGGGAAAACCCTGGTAAAAATATCAGCTTAATTTAACTATACTTGGTACACCTCATGCATGAACAATGTACATGAATGGTGTTATTTCTGACAGACTAACAATGAACTTAATGTATTACTGATGCATAATTATTGAAATATACACAAAGAGACTTTTATTTCAACTATTTTGAGACACTTTTAGGTTGTAATTTGGTGTGTTGAAGTTATTCGATATTACCAAACATGTTATCACGATAAAAACATTTCATATCATTCGATATCGATAATTATCACAATAAATGTAAAGTCGTTAGTTCTTTCAAGTTTAAAGGTAGATTTCTGCTCCTGACTGAAAATTTAAGAAACCAGATGGTTACTTATGTGGTTTTCTTTGTGGTCAGAATGGGAGAAACACTTGATGCTAAACAGTGAATCACTTAACAAAACTGAGGGAGAACATCCAAAACTAGTATAACTAAACTAGAATATTAGTAAATCTTTTTTCAGTCCCTGTTCCGCAACAAAATAAATATTTTAACAGAAAAATTAAGTGCTAATTTGTTCATGATTCATATGAATTAAACCAAATATTTATTGACGATAAATTGAACATTAATTATATTGATATTGAGGAAAATTATATTGCGATAATTATCATTATTGTTTTATTGCCCAGCCCTAGTTTAAGTACTTCTTTGTGTACTAATGCTTTACTTTTTTAATTTTTATATACTTAAATACACTTTGAGGATAACTACTAATACACATTTAACACAAGGAAATACTGTATTATAATAAAATTATGTAAAAAATTAATCAAAAAGAAAATTTTATATGAGTAACGTTAATATAGATTTCAAGTGTTTATTTATTTAGTAGCACAATCAAGTACAAATTAGATGTAGCTCAGTATATTTAAAATTGCACAAATTCATTAAGCAGCCGCAGTAGTGAGTAGGTCTACAACAGACGGTGATGCAATCAGTGGCCAATTTTTAAAGCAACAAGGAGGCTGAAGCAGCAGGGGATGGGGGTCCACTGAAACAAGTGGTGCACAGACAAAAGGGCATGTTGCAGAGTGAGTGTATGTGTGTGTGTGTGTGTGTGTGTGAGCCGACATGGCTAGCGGCATGACTGGATGCAAACAATCCCTCACCATAGCGACACAACTCTGGCTTTGTCCGAGCCTTACACAGATGACTGCATTGATTGGAGGGCACGATCTGGGAAAGTAGACCAAACAATCACTAACAATTAAGAAGCAACCCATGCTGTCCTGTCACTTCCTCTTTGTTTCCTCCCAGTGTCGTGGGCCGCGAGAAAACATGGAGGTGTGCAGTGCAGCAGGGTTTCTCAAACTCAGGATTAAGTGGGGTGTTGCTGGAACGTCTCAGAGTTTGTCTGCTGGTGGAGATCAACCACACAGATTAACCATTCAGTTTTCTAAAGGGAAAATTCACCTGTGACTCAGACAAACTAATTCAGTTCATTTTTAAAGCAATAACTCTATACAGAGAAAGCATAATGTCGTCTTTATACAATATAGTTATTAGTATTGCTTGCCAAACTCAGGACAAAAGTTCATTATATAATAGAGGCTGTACGAGTAGGCTACTTGAAGTGCATAAACACACAGCTCACATAGTTTTGCAGGTATTTGAACAGAAACCAAAGTATTTGACAAATTAAAAGATTTGACCTAATAATGATTTTTGACAATTCATCAGGGAAACACGACTGTTTGCACAAAATCAAAATGCAGTCCATTCAGTAGTTAGAAGATATTTCAATCTGACTCTGCCAAAGTGGTAGACACATTGCCACCCATTGAGCCACACCATGCTAATATCAGACTGACTTTGTGACTTTGCGTTTTTATATTGGCACCCTAACTTATATTATACAGCAGTATCTCACATCTTTCCTGTTTCTCTTCACTGCTAATTAATACTGTAAACTAATACAAGATTACATGAGAAAATGCTGCTATCCCTACTTTAAACTATTGCTAGTCCACCCTAAAATCTGATAAAGATATTAAAAGGATTCAAATTGGAAATAGTGCAATTGTGTGCTGCTCAATGGAGATGCCCTTTAGAGATTACTTCCACATCAACTTTGTCAGCTAGGGAGAGTGAGGTGGCTGCAGGTTTAACAAAAGCTGGAATAAGCTGAGTGAAAAGCTTCAGCGAGTAACCAGACAGAACAGCTTTCCATTCAGGTACTGTCAATCGGATATTCTGTAAGAAACAATGTTTCCTGTGGAGAAACAAGCATGGATGCATTTTACATGGATGCATTTTAATCCACATTACTAAAAACATCTTAAATAAATGGCAGTGGGCAGGTATTTGTCACAATTTCCACAAACATATGTATGGTAAAACATTTTGTTTAACTACTGATAACATGTGGGGAAATAAAGTGTATCCAACTCAGCATTATATTTATAACATTTTAACAAGTGCTGGGAACAATCACTATATTGAAGTTAGGTGACCAAATTGCCACCTTGCAGTCTCAAAAGTTAAACTAATCAGCTTGAGCCTTTAACCCTTTAAGACTTGGAGCTTAGCTGACCATGAGGGGGAGGAGGGTCTGCTGAAAGATAAACTAGACTGGATTTACACTTCAAAGTATGTTAATTAGAGTTTTCCGCTTTAGGAACACACATGTCTGATGTTAAGGCAAATATTGACTAGAAGGAATGACATGTTTACTAGTTGTAGTAGAGTAGTTTTGTAAATGGAGCTTGGGACTTCAAAAGACATAGAAGCCACATATTGTTGTGAAAATGTTGGTCAGGTAACACTGTTTTTGTATTTCTACCACAAACACAACCTGCCTGAGTTTTGTCCTTGATTCCGTCACACGCATGCTTTAAAGACTTTCTGCTCTCTACTCGCCTTTGCTGTATGACTCAGTTGAAAGATGTGATTAAAACCACTGCTGAGTGAGCACTTATAGCCCAACTCTATTAGGAGATTCATCATTGCAGGACTCAGCAGATCCACTCACACACACACTGAACCCACTCACTCATACACTCACTTCCTGCTGGCTCATGGATCAGGTATGTTACCATGTGGAAAATGTGTCAGAAACACCAGTGCCACTCCATTTGAGTATGCATTCTTGTGTGAAATATAAACTACAAGGAGGTTATAAAATAGGCTGGCACATCTTAGTGTTTAAAAAGGGAGGAGGATAGTGAGACAAACGTGAGCAAATCTGCAACATAAAGTTATGCAACCACAGGGGACAAGTCTGCATTAGCTCTTCATGGTGTTTTCCTGTCTCCCAGATATATAACAAAAGGAAATTCGCTTTGAATGGATCTAATTGCAGTTTATTATAGCAGCCTTCTTTGGCAGCAGTTTGGCTTCTTGCTTGACATTCAAGCAACAGTACGTATACAGGCTGCATGCACTCAGCCATGTGTATAAAGCCCACCAACATACCTTTTTTCTGCGGAAGATCACTGCGTGTTAGAGCATTTGAAACTCTCCTGTTGTGCTGGAGCCTCAGTATTTCTCAATCAAATCCGGTACTTTCCGCTGCATGTTTTGCGGGCCACTTGCCGGAGATCCTGTTTAATTCCGTGCTGCTCTGCGCCAACATCAGAGTTAACGGTGTGCGCGCATCCCCGCCTCTATAACCCGTGCGGTTATTGGACATCCGACATAGGAGCTTTCAAGGCTTCTGCTGTCCTGCCTGTCTGCTGCTACTCTGCCCGTCACTGAGTGAGACCAAAGAGCTTGTTGTAAATTACATCGGAACTGAACTGGGACACCGCAAGGCATGATGGACCGGTTAAAGCTGCAATGCACTGGCAACGCAAATGGACCACGAGATCCTCTGATCTCTGATGCAAGTTGCAGTCACGTTGAAGCTGGGGGATCTGATTGAGTCCTTTAAGACAAAATCTTTCATATTTCTACAAGTGTGTCTTTCACAGTTTACACACTTGTGAATAAGTTGTCTATGGCACTAATGTGGAAAGCAGTGGTGGGATGCAAGTAGGTTATACTGAAGTAGGCTAATATTTGTCCTACTGGAGTGTTTCTATTTTATGTTACTTTGTACTTCTATTCAGAGGCAAAAATTTGCACTCCACTACATTTATTTGGTAACTTTAGTAACTGCTAGTTCCTTTGCAAATTCAGATTAATTATACAAAATATAACAAATGAATTATGACCTGTTCTAGGTTATGATACGACTTTATTGATCCCCATGGGGACATTCAACTACCCAGCACAGTAATTAAAATTAGCTCCACTTTTACCGACATTAAAGTGATGTATACATTAATACATTTTTTTGCATCCATGACCTTTATTTGTAAAACAGTGTTTCTACACAGTGGTGTTGCTACTTTGCTACTTAAGTAAAAGTGTTGATTACTGGTGGTAGGTCACATATATTAATTTGTTTTTTTAAATTTCTTTAAGCTTTGTGCAGTTCTATTTTTAACAATGTGACTTTGTTTTTATTAGTCTCTTTGGTTTAATATATTATATTGTAAATGGTCTGTACTTTTATAGTGCCTTTCTAGTCTTCCGACTTCTGGAAGACTCAGTATATGGGTTAGACATATTTGAAGACATAAAAATACTGCAAATGTGTTGCAAAGTTTAACTACCAGGCACAATATGTCTTGTACTTAACTGAAAGGTCTTGAGTCTTCCAGGTTCCACATCCACTTGTGTAAGTTGCATACTGTATCATGACTGGCTCCATACTAGTTGTGATTGCACAAAATCCTGTTGGTACTGTATGTCTTAAAGGTAAAACATGCAAGATATGGACAGAATTTTAGTTTAAAATAACTAACATTATCAACAGAACATGAAGGAGTAACAATTTCGATGTTATGTCAAACGCTTGTATTGTGTTACAGTTTGTAAGTTCCAGTCCAGTAACAGGCTTACCAGACCTTCAGTATGTTACCTAGGGCACGTGATGTTAAACACATGATTAATGTTGTGAAACTGTTGGTTAGGTTTAGCCAACAAAACTACTTGGTTAGGTTTAGGAAAAGATCATGGTTTGGGTTAAAATAAGAACACTGCATAAATCACGTCATGTAAGTAACATTGTCACCCACAAAACGTTTTTTTAACAAAACATTAAATTAGTCAAAATTGACTTGGTTTCACGTGTGACTCGAACCTTAGTCGAATGAGTGAAGGCCCTGAGTTTACTTGACATACCCATCCACCACCATCAGCTCCTTATGTGGACTTTGTTGCTCTTCATACCATGTCTAAAAACAATCAATAAAACAATCTAATCTAATCTAATCTAATCTAGTCAGTTGACTTCTTCCTTTGCTCCTGTCATACAGCCCAACAATAACCGTAAATATGGGTCATTAATAAGCTGCTGCATAATCGACCTACACGGCTGTTTTTCTAGCGAGGACGGGCTGATTAAAGTATACCCATAGTAGAGCTTTCTACTACTTGATAAGAAAAAAACTGATACAAAACCACATGACAGTGTAAAACTGAGCATTTCTGCATGTTTCAACATTTCATTTCAGCCGAGTGATACTTAAACTGAGTGAAATATTCAACCAAAGACTACATGTTTTTATGGCTGCACCATTTCCATCAGAACACACAGCCTAAAATACAGCCTGACCTAAACTGAAGGTTTGGGCAGAGTTTAAGAACTTAACTCATGAAAAGCAGCAGCATGTTTGATTTGAGAGATCTGTTTAACTTCTAAAAAAGGCAAAAGTATAAATAAAGGTGGGGTGAGATTGTGTGTTTGTCCTTATTTAAATTCCAGTCAACACTCATGTCTTCATGTCTCACAGCATTAAATCATGACCGCTTCCTGTTGGCTGATCAGGCAGAATCACTGATGACCTTCAGCTTTTCAGTATACTGTAATTTCAGAACTGATATGATCCAGAAAATGAAAAAAAATAGTATTTGTTCAAAAGACATGCCCCTTTTGATAAGCTTGACAACATTTGCATGCATCCAACAGTTACTGCATCAATCTGTGCTTTCTCTCACAAACCCATTTTGTAAGAAAATGTTGTTACTTGACTCATATGGTCCTCCTTCTAGCCAGCTTTAATCTTAATAGCACTCATTCGTTCCAGTGTTGTAGGTCTATATATCAGCTTAGAACTAAACTCTGCAATTAATCCTGAAAATATGGTTTAGCTGTTGTGACAATCAGGCTGCGTGTGATTGATGTGACTGTTGCAGGCAGTAGTGACAGACACTTTCAGGATTTAAAGCTTAATGCACACTGTAGTCAGGTGTCTGCTTGTGGTGTCATGGTTAAAATTTAAATGCAAACAAAAGCTGGTTATTTGGCACAGAAAGTTAAGGCATGGGGGGGTTTCATTTTGTTATGTAGATACAGCATTTGGCAAGAAAGGTTCAAGCAAAAACACCTTATTTCAGTCTGGAAGCCAAATCATTAAAGTCCCTTGACAGGTGTTTTCACTTTGTCTCATTAGGCCTTTTCTCAGGACCGTGGGTGTACACAGGCTGTGCTTGACAACACTTTGTTGTTAGTTTTGTCACACTTGTCAGGATGAGACATCTTCGCCTTCATCATTCTATTGGCTAATGAAATTTGGTGCAATTCTTTGCACAACTGAGCAGGTCTAATCAGCCACAACCAGACTAAACACCTGTGTGTGTGTGTGTGTGTGTACATGACTAGCTCCTGTTGCACCAGCTATTCTAAGTTCAGACTTAGTGTAGCTTACATGGAAGTTTACTCGTTACTAAATTAAAACAGTTTGCACCACACAGGCTAGTGCTTACCTAAAGATTAGTTTTATTATGCTCAGTAACTGCCAGTTGTAACTGCTGCGTAGCTAAAAGAAAAAGCTAACGTTAGATTGCTAATATCTGACCTATCAGACCCATTCAGAATGAAGGGTAAAGAAATAATAATAATAATAAGGATCATAGTCAACATATGAGACCAGACACTTGTTTAATGATCAAAACAGGGAACATTTTGAGTTACATTTCACTAAAATAACACCACATATCTCAAATAGCAAAGTAATACAAATAACGTTCTGCTAAATTACCTAATATCGTTAGCTAGATTAGCATAATCAGATATTTCCCACTGCTGAACTTGAATACTACTAATGTGATCATACATTTCTCCATCTATGCATAAATAAATAAAACAAAGGCATACCAACATGTACGAAGAATTAAGTTTAATATATTGTTTTCCCACAAAAAAACTGTAATTTTTGGAAGTTATGCTCCAGCTTATGATGCTACAGTGACTTCCTGTTTATGTAGTTGATTGCTTTTTTTATTGGCACCACCAGATTTAGGTAATCACTTGCTAGACTTTATACACAGACTTAAATGGATTTAAGAATAGCTGGGGGGAGGGAAATATGAGGTTACAGTTAGTTTGTAATGTTAAAAAAAAGGTTAAGGTTGAGGCTCTCTGTTCCTCGTCTTCTGTCACCACCCTAATAAAATCTTGAAATTTGTGTTCAGCAGAACCAAACAAATTCTTCATTGAAAGCCACATCATTGTCCCCCTTTCAGACCGCTGCCATTTACCTTTTCTTATGTGGTTGTGTGCTGTTTGCCATCAAGTCAAGAAGCCTACTCTTGACCCACAGACTAGACTCTCTCCTCAGACATGTCTTCTCTAACCAGCTTTCTCTGTAGCCGTCACAACACGACCTCCTTGACCCCAATCAGTCACGAGTCAAGCAAGCACTCTTACTCTGTATTTCAAAAGGACTTCACATTTCTCATCCTGCCTCCCTTTTCACAGTCCTCATCCTTCTTGATTTGTCTGCTGTGTTTGACACAGTCAGCCACCAGTTACTCCTTGGCACCACTGCAGACCACGAGATCTGAGAATTTAACTGTATACGGTGTCTTTCTACTTGACTGACTGCGTCTATCAGGTTTCATTGCTGGAATGCTGGAAAAAGCGCTCAGTCATCGGCTCCCTCCTATCCTTTCCTTCCAAGAAATAAATTGATCTTCCCTCCTTGAAATGTCAGAATCACGCTCTATTTTATGTTTCAGGCTGGCAGATTTTACTTTTAGAGTACTTGACATCTGCCTCACCCTGAAGACATCTAAAGACACACGAGATATATGAAACTGAAGGGGAAAGGAACCTGGAACATCAAATTAAATTGTGGTCTACCCAAAGACTAAAGGGAAACACTTATGTCTAATTTCACACCAGTTATGTCACTATTTGGCCGTCATTATTTTAATGTTTGTAGTAGATAAGAACATAGACAATAGAAATTTGTTTAGATACCAGTATATATGTGCCGCTGAATGTCTGTTCTCTGGTGAATATGAGCGTGTCAGACATTGTTTTTTTGCTGCTGTATTCACAACTATTCATGTGACAACATACAAAATTTTCGGGGCCTTTTATTTTAAAGCAATGTGAAGCTCAGATCACATACAAGTCTCCATTTATTTTTCTCTTTCAGTCTTGCAGAGTGGACACATTTTTTGAAAACCAGTGGTTCCCAGCTTTTTATGACCGCTTTAAATGAAGCAACCTTCAAATCCTCATCACTGGTTGCATGTCTACTGGTTGTGACCAGTTCAACAAAAGGGATTTTTTCTTTGCACTAACTGAACTAGTAAAATAGTCCAGTATGTTAAACTTACTGGACTGAAAAAAACAACAGAAGCTTGGTGGTTCTAGACTAATGAAATGTATTATGTCCACTATATTACTGTGGTCAAATAAA